CAACCAGAACTTTGCTGTACACTGTTCATGATTCAATGGACTGATGCCGTATTTTGATATCGCCACATTCTGCTAAGTATATATGATTGCGGAGTCGAAAAAATTTCGTTGATAACTTTTACATATTTGTTCCCTCCGTGCATCAACCCGTTCCTGTTTCTTGCTTTACATCCATTCGGAGTGAGCCATTTTTCCTTTCCAGTTTGAGTGACAATCCATTCGTCAGGATCACCGTTGTTTGTAACCCGTTTTCACGGGTGCAATAACGACGCCGTCTGCAAGTTAGGTAATTTTGTCCACTGATTCCCAAGTTACCCTCAGTTTTCCCTTGTCTCTGTCTCGTCAAACTTCTGCCTGCATTTAACACTCCCTAAAATCTCAGAGTTTCTGTTTACGTGAGTATGTATCTGCTAGCATCTGGTTCATCAGACTTTTTGACTTTGTTTTTTTCTGCGTTCCATCCCCGCCTGACCTGCTCTATTCATTTTGTTCCAATTCTTTTTTGCGTGCACAGTTGGCAGTCTTCAGGTCATTTCGTTCGGACTTGTTGTCTGAATCGTCTGGTTCACTGTCTGTCTGACCTAAGTAATAAGTTGAACACTTCAGTGTCTGTATTGTTTATCCTCCCCTCACGTATGTGTGTATGAGATGGACTCTAACCTAGAACCAGGAACACGATTCCGAGTCTGAATACATGACCTCCTCAGGTCACGTTCCCCTCCTGGATTACTCATTCACGCACGCTCAGAGAAAAACAACATCCCGATATGGTTGTGTACCATTCTTTCTTCCCATGCATATCGCACGCGGTCCGGTTGGATCATCAATGGTCGTCAGTAACCAATCTGTATATCAAATCGTTCGAAATTGTCATACGACCGATTAGAAATAACAAAGTGATTGATAATTTTGAAGATTTCCTCTTTGTGAACTGTAATAAACCAGTCTACAATACTCGTGTATCACAAATCAACCTCACACTTCTCGGATTCGTTCTTTAGCTTCATGTATCTCCATCTGTGTAAGCTGTTTTAATAATTTGCGTGGTCCACGATCACGGTTCGAAGCGTCAAACTCCACCGACCACTTCAGTACCATCCCATCACATCGTTGTGTTCTGACGTGACCCAAAGTTATCATTCCCCGTCACTGAATCCGCAAGATAAATTGTTCAGTATACACTGAGAATCGGGAAACTGACATTTCTACAAGGTTGAACTTGTGCTTTAACTCGTCCATGTTGCTCTTCTCCGTTCTTTGTTGTCTGCTTCGCAAACGGCTTTTATTTCCGAGAAATTTGCCCCAAAACAAATGTAGTCTTGCAACAGAGAGAGGAAGAAAGAAACAGGTACTCTATCTCTCCCTTTCGTTGCGCAGTTGAAAAGGTTGTACACAATGAAATTTGTAATGCCTATCAATTTAAGTAACCACTAGCATGTTTGTTAACCTACATCGTCACAGTTCACCCAGTGGATACGGTGAATAAAGTGTTTTCTGCGGAACTACTCGTCACCGGGCATGGATGTACGTTCCCACACACGTATTTTGAACATTGCGGCTGCTATAAGTATATATCTCATGTTGAGTCAATACAATCTTGACTTGCACTTGGTGGACAACAGGAATCGAGAAGCTGCATGTTAAACTGACAATACACATGCACCACTATTCAACCATCACATACCAAATTCTTGAACGCCAGTGTAGATTGTTAAACTACCGATTAGAGGCTCATTCATATTGTGATCGGTATTGCTCGATGTCTCATTCAGGCAATGAGGTGCTGCTTCATTGTGTCAATTTTTTTGGTTCAAGCTGTGTTCAAACTTTTAATATTATTGAACTCCTTTGTTATGCGTCGCCCCCCACACACACACCTCACCTCCGAAACTATCCATAGTTCTCGCGCCGTTTTCCGCATTTCATGCACGATCAACGAGAGTATTGCAAAAAAACGTTTTCTTCTACCTTTACCTAACTGATCATTGCTAATTAGCGGACCAGCGGAGCGACTGATCACTGTCGGCCGTACATACGATCTGGTGATTCTCACTTTTTCTTCCTTTTCCCAGATGCTTCTACATGCTTATACCACAAAAGACCCTTCCCAGCGATCGTCCACGCCCAACACATCGAATTCGGGATATTCGGACCTCGCCCCGGAACGTATCACCAACGCGTCCGGGCAGACCATGCTGATGTTGGCAGCCTCGGCGGGACATACCGATATCTGCCGTCTGTTGTTGTTTCACGAACGATGGGGCACACAAGCTCTGGTCGAAGCGAAAGATGCTATTTATCGTTGGACGGCGTTGCATCATGCAGCCGCCCAAGTAAGCTCCGAATACTAATTTGCACATCAGAATTCATTGGTTAAAAATTAAAATAATGGAGGCAAACTATCTGATTTTATCGTCCTCAACCCCCTCCCCCTCACTTGCCCAAATCCCCGTCTGTGCTATATCAGGGTCACTCAGAGATTGTTTCCTTGTTGTTGGATTTCTCCGAATCTCGTTCGCAAACTTTCGAGGGCTCTGCTTGCCCTGGTCTACGCTGTAAGTTCTGAATTCCATTTTTGCCCGCGAATCCTTGAGATCGGCCATGCCAACTCATTTCATAGTTCAATTTCACTTTTGTGGTCCTATTGTATGCACCTTTTTGGTTGTTTAATATGTTGGTTTTGGTTTCTAATTTGTTCTACTTATTGAGCTAGTTATGAAATTCACATTAAAACTAGACAAACTCGGCGACCCGATATATATTCCTTATTGAAAGGAGGCAACATTTTCATTAGTGGGAACAGGATGTGTTCCACCGTTGAACTCTGTTCGAGTCGTGAATGGGAAGGGAGATAGTTTGAGGTTGGACTCGATCGTGCGGAACGAAACACCATCCGACATGTTATCTGACCGAAGTCGACTCATGGGCACAATGTTTTTCACTTTCATTATTCAAAATCAAATTTGTGCTCGTCTAGTCGGACTTAATTCTACTTTTCTGCCGTTTGAATAGAATTCACTGATCATGGGTTCCCCTTTTTTCTTGTATCGTTGAACGCTTGCAATAGTTCTTTACCACAACACGGCGCATCAGTCGTATCATCCCGGTTTAGTCTCCGCACAGTCAATGACATTGAAAGAGTAAATTATCACTGCAATTGGAATCTGATTGCACGAACAAACGCTAATTGTAATCTTTTATCGAGAGAAAACCACTTCGATCTCGTGTGCAACGGTTGAAACCGAGACCATCAATACCCGGTTCGGGTAGTCTGCTTTCATCGAAGATCCGTTTTTTATTCTCATATTACCACAGTGTCACAGTGCTTTCCACTTTGTCTGTCACTAAAAGTTACCTTTTTCATCCGCTCCGAAACGGAATATTGGCTCTCTCTTATACGGTTGAGTTCCTCAAGCGGTGGTGCTCTTTCATCTCAATTCGCTTCTTGGCAACCTTAGACCACCAAATTTCTCTATTTTCTCTGCCCATTTGGATGAAGAATAGGAGAAGACAGGAAAGTTGAAAATAGAGTCGAAAAGAAAACAGAGAATTTCAGTGGTCTAAGGTTGCAACGAAATTGAGAAGATGCACGAACGCCACTGTTTTGGACACTCAGCCATATCACTCAGTGTCTCTAACCATCGGTTACGATCATCCAGAGGTCCCCATCCAGGGAGTTTCACGGGACCTATGTGACCCAGTCTCTTGGTTAGGGTTTTCATACCCTCGTATCAGGTCTTCGCTTTTTTTCACTCATTACCTGCCTCGGCGAATATCGCTCGACGTGACAACCTATCTGGTGACATGCGTAACACCTGTCCCAACCAACGTAATCTATGGAGGTCGACCACTTGCTTCAGTGGGCGACCCATCTAAAGGTACAGTCAAAAAACATTCACCAAAACCGCATCACAAAAGTGCTTGGTTAATGGTTGTAAAAGCTGATACCGATTTGGTTCTACATACATAATAAGCATCTCTTAATAATTGTAGTAAAGAATTCAACATTGCCCGTATTTCCTATTGCATACATGTCGATTTGAAAGTTTGTGTATACCTATATCATCTTAGATATGCATATTATGTTACCTTTCCATGCGCTGTGTCATACGAGCGAATGTGATCATTCAGCTGTGTCTCGCCATTCGTTTGATGCATCTCACA